CAATGATTTCTTACATTTTGGCGAGCTACGTGTTTTTTTTTCTGTCTGACTCGCCTGTTTCTTTTCTCTGCTGTGTGGTGTCTGTGTGTGGTTTACAGCTGTTTACACAGTTAACAATGGCTAAGCTCTTTCTGAAGTCCAATAAATTCACGATGAAAGAAAAGGCCAAATTAATAAAATTTAACAGGAAAAAGATGTGGCTAGTTGCACCACACGATGTTAAAATTACCCTCTTAAATGACAGAAGAAAAAAAAGGAGTATTTATGAGGGTTTTTTTTTTTTTTGCCACAACCACTAAATAAAGCAGGAGAGTTTATGTTTGTGTGAGCTCTGTTTGTATTAAACCTTTTTCCTGTGCATGCTGGGCCTTTACTTGTTTCCCTTCTGCCCACTGGCTCTGCTGACCTCAGAGCCTGCTCACATAACGAGGTATTAAGTTAAACCAGCAGCCCTGGAAAGACAAATACAAATAACTGACGATTCAGTTCCCCTACGCTCTGTTGGCGTGCTACATTAGCTGGAACTAGAGAAACTCTTTTCACTGATTCTCTGCACACTGTGCTGCTGCAAAGTTTTAGCCCACCTGACTCTGTAATAACTGTTGTTCTTTCAAAGTCGAGCTGTAAAACTTGTCCTTTTCTCTCGTTGTAAAGGCCAGTGAAACACTGGCAGACATAGTGTAAGGATTGCTCTAAAATTCAAGGTTGTCTGGTGTAATTGTTCAGATTTCTGGCCAAAGTGAAACCTATGGATTCGATGCTTGCGTGTGGCCCTGCATAGGCTTTAGCTCCAGCATGAGTACATCTGTGTTAAATATCTGTCATCATATAAGTGAAGTGTGTCTAACATGGGTACTCTATGCATCCAAGACCTATGGGAGGAAGTAAGGAGCAGCTCAAAAGGCACAGCTGTATGATGTATGTGGTCTTTATGTTTCCTGAATACTGGTTAAATATTCTCATTTTATAAGACCTCCAACTTCTTCCCTAAAAAGAGACTTAATGTTTTCTTCCAAGGCTTTTGTTTTGGATCGCTCTGTTGCTTCTCCCATTCAGATGTATTTCCAGCTTTTCCTTTGTGTAAGCCGAGACCCTCGTGAAGAATCCGGCCTTTTCCACATGTGTCCGCGCATCTGTCTTGTTTCACATCATCAGATATTTGAAGTGAATCCCAGCATCATGTGGTCGCCACTCAGCCATCCTTTGTGGTGTCTCTCCGGACGTCTGGAGGATTACAGTTCGGCACAGCTGCGCCGAGGCTTTTTCCTTTCACAAAAAAAAAAAAAAAAAATCTTTTTTTTCCCTCTTCAGATGTTTTAAACAGAATACTCTTAAAGATAACAAACACATTCTCTTTCGCTCTCTCTCTCTCACACACACGCACACACACACATATACACACATACAGGTTTCACCAGAAACTGGACAGCACAGAGAGCCAGGTTTCTAAATGTGGCACTGAGGTTTTAGCCCACAGTTTGTTCTGCCATTTGTTTTCACTTTGTTGCATGTTGGAATAATTGTTAAATTTGTTGCAGATTGATTTCCAACCTTTCATACAGGATGTATATTCAGTCTTTCGGTCTAAAAGACTGTTTCTGACATGATATAAGACAAATGACTCTCAAAATGTAGTTTAAAAAATATATAACCATTGATTCAAAACAAAACAAAAAACAATTTCACTTAAAAAAAAGTTTCAGAAAAGATTTACACTCTCTTGAATAATCTGTGGAAAATCTTCATTGACATTACATCCCTTCTTATAAATGTTGGCCACATCTTTGTAAGCTTCTTTCAGTATCTATGATTTTTCCTATAAAGACACAACATGTTCCCAAATTCTACTGGTGAAAAAAAACAAACAAACAAACAAAGATGACACAGTCTGACAGATATACAGTATTTACTCCTCTGCTAAAGATAGGATTTTGTCCTTTACTCCTTTCATTTCACTATTTTTTAAGTTCACAACATGCTGCCAAAGTGAGGAACAAAGAAAAAAACTGTATGAAAAAGTGTATGACCTTGAAGCATTACACACAGATACTGAAGTCTTATTGCCTACAATGTATGTCAGAACTTTCACATATTGATAGGTTACTTAAACATTGTTTAGTGTTAAACTCTGAGGTGATTTTCTTTGTTTGTTTGCAAAACTGAAATGGAAAACATTTTAACAAAGACAGTTGAGGCAGTTCTTCTGAGTCCTGAGCTTTATTGCTTTCTGCAGCAAAGAGGTCAGTACATCAGCACTCTGGCTGTTACTATAAACAATTCAAGCTCTTTTAACAGTTTTATAAACACACCCACAAAGTCACACACCCTCTTTACACATGTATGTAAATGCATTCTGCAACCTCACTGTGCCATTAAAGTTGGGGGTGTCATACTATTTACTGTAGCGATTTATTTTCACAGAGTAAAAATTCCACCATAAAAATCATGGATGTAAAACCTTCCTAGGGATAAAAAAAAAAACAAAAAAAAAAACTGATCTACAAGAACAGTTTGTTGACAGAGGAGGATATTTCTTATTGCTATGAGGTTTCCCAAAGTTTCCTTCCGATTTGTTGATCAGTTTTTATGATGGCTCCTCCCCCAGAAGCAGCTGGTTGTCAGGGAAACCAAGTTCTATTACTTCTGACACACACAGAACCAGAGCCAGAAAGTCCTGCCCAATCAAATGGAATGTTTTGTTTACACCATGTGCTTTCTTACATTTCTTTACAGCTTAGCATCAGCTTTAACTGTCTTTAAGTGTGTCACCTTGATCTGAATCAAAACTGGAAATCTCTCCAGAAATCTCTAAAGCCAGAACCAGAAGAGAATCGTAATGCTCGTTGTGTGTACGACATTGATTAACTGGTTTAATTTCCTCCTTCTCTTTTAATTTCTCTCAAACTTACATTAGGATCCCCTTCAGCTTAGACTGATTGATTTAAAAGCATTAAGCAGTTAAATGCATGCATATTGTGCAACTGGTCACTTTTTAGCGACAAGATATTTTTTCATAAAAGAAGTTGTGAAGTTTTATACATCTGCTTCAGAACTTCTAAAAAAGTGTTGTTGTTTTTTTGTTTTTTTTTAGCTATTTTTGTTTTTATTTTTTGTGGTTTTATACAACAATTCAGAACTCATCATATAATCTAACTCGCCTCGGGATTACTACACAGCTGCTCTTTAGAGCATCATTAGCTTCAATTCAGGTACCAAATAAAGTTTCTTCATTGCTTCACTAATGGTGACATTGCAAGATAATGTTTCCAGCCTGTTGTCCGCAATAATGCTCAGCCGGGGGGGTCATAATGACATGACTTTCCATAAGTCTTCAACCCTTCAGGAACTAAAGCCAGTGTAATGTGTGTTGTCAGTTTGAGCCAACAAAGCAGGGGGTCACTTGAAAAGAAGAAGAAGAAGAAAAACAACAAAAGTCAAAGAACTCACAAATGACCTGAGAAAGGAGCAAGCGAGGGTGAAGGAGAGCTTGTTTTATTGAGAGCTGAGCGGCGAGCAGGGTGGTCCTATCCAGAATGGAAGGTTGTCAACACAACAGCACAAAACAAGCAAGTCATCGCTCTCTCACTTTCCTAACTGCTTGCCCTCCCGCTAATGCAGTGCAGTGCAAAAACTCCTACAGTGAGTTCATTCATTCAGCTGATCAATGTAAGCATATACATCACTTAATGTTATTTACCTTTAAATTCATGGCTTTTATTGGTTTGCATAGTAGTAGTTGTTTTCCTATCTAAGCATGTTATTAAGGAGGTAAAAACATTGTGTCATTAAGTTCTCTCCCCCGTTAGGTTTTTGGACGGGGTCTGTGTTGGTGAACGGATCCAGATGCCTACACCTAATATTCTGTTACACATGGTGTTGATTTCAGTTCTGACACCCTCATCAAACTGGATCAGCCCCATCCCTAACATATGATGTTGCCCTGTAAAATGTTCTTGGCACACTAAAAGTAGTGAGTATCAATAAAAACATAAATCTACCTGTTAAACTGACGTTTCCATTTTAGCCCTGGTCTGATAAGTGATTTTCAAAATCTATACTCTGTTCTAAATGTTTTTTCTACTTTAAACATAGTTTTTACGACTTTAAAGCTCATAAGTCAAATCTCCAGTTAAAATAGACGTTTAATGAAATGTTTAGCCCAGAGCTAAGTAACGAGATGAACGCCCTTCCTCTCATTTCCCTGGCTTTTCTCTCAGGCACCTGTCATGTATAAGAGTATTAGAGACAGAAGTGGATTCAAAGCAATGGATTGAAGGAAGGAGAACAAGAAGAAAAAAAGATAGAAAACAGGGTAACTTATGATATCTGCTGCATGGTAACAGTCGGCAGTGGTTTTTGATATGGTTTATGTCGGCAGTTGACCAGGGCAGCATTGGAAAGGGGTAAGGTGGTCAAGATCTTATATTATTTTATCCTGTCTTATCTTATCCTGTCTTATTAGTTGGCAAAGCTGAACAAGTTTGCTACACTTGTATGCATGTGCAGTGGAATAAGTTTTCTTTGCTTGCTGCAGAGTACTGGAAGAGTAGGTTACCTGCTTTCTTCTGAAAACAATCAAACAAAAAGAAGATGGTTTTATAAAATTTTAAACATAGGAGAAATAAGGACTGGAATAAGAGGAAAAATGAATAAGATTTTGATTTTGACAAACATTGCTAAGTAAATAATTTTAAAATACAAAAGCATAAATGTGATTACCGAGCTATTTAACAACAGAGCATATTATATTAGAATGTCAAATATGAAGGAGAGACTAAGAGTTTAAAAGAAATAAGGAAAACGTTAGAAATTGAATAAGAACTTAGGTGGCAAATATACAAATCATTCGATTTTTAAAGAAAACTAAATTGTTTCATAAAATGTGATTATATTTAGTAGTTATGTGTGTATAATATGACAGACTAAGATGTTCAGATACAGAGTGGTCATCCTGAACCATTCTCCAGTAGGTGGCGGTAGTACCAAACGTTTCTTACCAATCGCCAATAAAAAGTAGGAAGAAGAAGACCGACACGTCACTTCTCAGCACAGACCGTTAACTTTCCAGCAATGGACAAGTTGCAGAATGATCCACAATCGTCCTGTAAACCAAAGGTTTACAGGATTCCTGCTCTTTTGTCCGTGGATGAAACTCTTCTGACCTTTGCTGAGCGGAGAACAGAAAAAGCCGATCATATGGCGGAGGAGCTGGCTATGAAAAAGGGAGCGCTGCAGAGGGAAACCAACAGAGTTACAGTTGAGGTATATTTCCCCCCCAGTTAACTGTTTAATTGGTTCACGGCTTCTCATTTTACATTTTTTTTTCTGTCGAGCACACTGTCTCTTATACTTAATCCATCTGCATATCATGTTTTGCAGTGGACTGAGCAGAAAATTGTGGAAGAAGCGCACATTGATGGCTACCGCACTATGAATCCCTGTCCAGTGTACGACAGGACAAACGGGAAGCTCTTCTTGTTTTTCATCTGCGTAGAAGGAAACTGCACAGAATGGTGGCAAATTGGCAATTACTGCAACAAAACCCGGCTCTGCTACGTCACGAGTGATGATCTTGGAGAAACCTGGAGTGGACTGACTGATCTGACTGAACATCTACATAGTGACTGGGTGACCTTTGCAATTGGGCCAGGTCATGGTCTTCAAACAGAGAGTGGTAGATTGATGATTCCAGCTTATGCTTATGTTGGTGTAAGTCCTGCTAAGCCTATTCCACATGCTGTCTCCCTGTATAGCGACGATTCTGGGGTAAACTGGCAGTTTGGCACTTTGTTTGATAGACAATCAATAGAGTGTCAAATGGCTGAGGTTTGTGATGCGAATGGCAGATACATCTATTGCAATGCCCGCAGTAGCGAAGGGCATCGGGTGGAAGCGTCCAGTGACAGTAAAGGACAAATATTTGCAATACACAGTGACAAAAAGCTTGTGGAAACAGGTTGTGGCTGTCAGGGAAGTGTGGTCTCCTTCCCAGCCCAAAACAAAGACTCGGCAGCAGCAGCAGGCGATGCAACCCACTGGCTTTTATACACACACCCGAGCCATAAAAGAAAACGACTCGATTTGGGTGTGTTTCTGAACAAATCCCCATCCGATCCAAATGCATGGAGTGAACCCTGGATCCTTTACAGGGGCCCCAGTGGTTACTCTGACCTGGCTTACCTTGGTGACGGCTGGTTTGCGTGTTTGTTTGAATGTGGGAAGGAAGAGGAAACTGAGCAGATTGCTTTAAAAATGTTCAACTTAAATGAAATGGAGGGAGACGCACAAGAAAGTCACACCTCCACATCGCAGCAACCCACTAAGCCCATCGGAAGTGAAATAATTACTTGCTTTGCCTAATTAAATGAAAATCCTATACTTCAGTTTTGACAAATGGACCATTTTTGAAAGGTTGACCAAAAATCTTTAACGATAAATGAACAAAATCAAATGATATGATTTCAGTTTACATGAAACAATTGTCTACATAAAATGTTTTTTTTTTCCTTGTAGCTTGTATTGAGCATGAGGTGTGTTTCCAACATTAACATTTTTAATACTAATTCTTAATGCTTTTCTGACATTGATAAAATATAGTGTAATCTTTTTTTGTCATCTTTATCTACTTCTGTAATCTTTTTGGTTATATTTCCTTCGCATAACTGAAATAAAAAAAAAGTGCATTAAATTCCTATGAGGCAATATTATTATTTGCAATTTCTAATTTTTAGTCAATGAAACTTTCATTGAGCTGTTGAGGATTTTTCTTGAAAATACAAAGTTGTTAACACACGCCACAAACTGAAGGCCCAGGGGCCAAATTTGGCCTGCCTGAGCTTTTTATGTGGCCCTTAGATAAACCTTGTTTGATGTAAAATGTGTTTACCCTTCTTGAAAGGTTATGCAACAGGAGGGGCAGGTGTCCTAAATAGACATCACAAGGAAAGAGCATCATGTGGTAATTATTAAAGCAACATATCATAAAGGTAAAGCTACAACACAAATGGCTCTTCCAAACAGACAATGACCCCAATCAGTGTGCCAAGTTAATAAGTGGCAGAAGGACAAAAAAGTCTATGTTTTGGATTGAACATCACAAATATATCCCATTATTCTGGCTACCCTAATTGATCTAAAACAGGTGAGGTTTGGTCTGATTTAATAGACAGAAAAAAAAGGTTTACTTCCTTTAACAAAAATACTTGTCTTTGAATGTTTCTAATTTAATTCAGCATAGACTCCCACAGGATTAGACTTCTGATGTGGCACTTAAACTCACCATACTGGCCTGCATTACTATACACAGATTACATGTTCTTCTTCAGCATGTAAAAAAAAAAATATTTTCACTGAAAATGAATAAAGTGACTGGAAGCTAAACGTGGATCCTTCCATGACTTCCAGAGGAAGCCAACATTTGCGAAAGACAATGCAGCTGGAAAAATTGGCCTCTTGTCTTTAGCTTGTATTACATATTAGATGTGTTATTAACAGTGAATCACTCCCAGAAAGTGTTCTGCATTTCTGACTGGCAGTCTTGCACTCCCACGTGGAAATAGTTAGCAAGATACTGTTTATGGATCTCACAGATGACAGAAAACCTGCATTTTTGAAGGGCAAAGTAATTTAGGGCTATTAGCAATGCAACATAACAATCTAAAAGGGAGCCAATGAGAGGCAACTGGGGTAGTGTTTTAGTGTGTTTTTATTCTCTACATAAACCTGCAGATTTTTGATGACAGTTACTGAACATGTGTTTATCATTTATCTGTCAAGACCACATTATACAATGAAAAGACACCAGACATTGTAAAGTAAGTATTTTCCTCTGGAACAATGATCCAGTCTCCATTATTGTGGGGCTAGAAGTCCTCCCAGTTGTCATTACATACATTCTATGTTCTCTGTGGTATTTTGCAGTTAAGTATATATATTTTTTTAATTGCTGGATTTATGCTTAAATTACGAATATTTTAGTTTGCCGACACTACATTTCACGAGGCATCAAGTGGTACTGAATTCCTCTTCTTTAGAAATAGATCACATCACATTACAAACTGAATTTTCTTGTTAGCACAAGGTGTCCATTAATATGTTTTAAAGTTGTTTTGTTTCATCTGTGCTGCTGTTGCATGACTATCTGAGGAACTTTGACAAGGATCAAATTGTGATGGATCAAAGTGTTTGGATCATCTCTAAAACAGCTGCTTTTGTAGGCTTTGGTGTTTGGGGTACATTTTGAAATGACAATGACACCGTCCACAGAGAACCAAACTTTAGATCAGCATGGACTTACTGGATGCCGACCAAGAAGGATGTTCCTAAGATTTTACTACATGAACGTCCTGGAGAAAGACTGAAGTTTTTTTGTCACAATTATAAGACATATTTTTGAAAAATCAAATTTAGACGTTCAGAGCACAGTTGTGGTAGCATAATGATGTGGGATGGCATCGTTGTCATTGGTACTGATACATTTCACATTTTGACAACCAAAGTCTGAAAATGTGGCGTCCAGTTCCCTGAGTAAATCAGTTTGTTGAACCATTTTCTGTTGCAATTTTCATCATTTTTGGTGAATTTCTCCACCAGCTTTGAGCAAACTATGAACATCAATTTTCATGTTATTCTCCATAACTTTCTCCATGCTGTATTTCTTGATCTTCATGAAGTTGTTTGTTGACTAACGTTCTGGAACAAACCTCAACCGAGCAGAGATTAAATTACCCACAGATAAGCTCTACTTGCTTATTAGATTACTTCTGAAGATATTTGATGCTTTTAATACAGTTAATGCTATATTCAATTTAGAGGTAAAATAATTAAAGGAGGAAAATGCAAAAACAACAGCGATATATATACTATAACATTTAATAATACAAGCTAAAAGCTATTACACATGAAAAACTATTTCTAAATTATTTTTATAGTTGGTACACAAACAATAGCTTAATGTTATTCAACTGTTGGCTGCCGCTACTTTTGGGGACATGCGGTTATGCATATTTACAATTTGCGAGTTGTTCCCAAATCTTTGGCTTACTCAGGAAAGCCTGCATCCAACAGTTGCTTCAGCACGACGGAGTTTTTCCAAACTGAAATTGATTAAAATTTACCCAAGTTCTCCGCTGGCACAGGGACAATTCAGTGGCCTTGTACTTATTAGCACCAACCACACAGTTGGCCATGACATCTCTTACAATGATGTCATTAATGACTTTGCTTCCAGCCCTGACAAATTCACATCCCTGTTTTCAGATTTTTAATAAACAATTTGAAAACAAAGTATAAACATGTTCCTTCATTTTATGTGCTTTTCTCCTTGGGTCCATTACAAAAATCCTAGTTTAGGTTTAAAGGAATTTTTTAATTGAATCAAAGTGTTTTTTTGTTTGTTTGTTTTTTTCTGAGTGGGGGTTATATTAGGATTTTGAAGTGGCCCAGCAAGAGCTTTGACATGAATCTGACACAAAATATGTGCAGGGAGCCAAAAATTAGGATGATTGCACGGAGGCCTCCGACCTCAGAATCTGTGAAGCTCATTACCAACCATGAACAAAATACCAGAACAAAAAGAAAAAAAAAAGAAAAGAGTAAGGACAATAAAAAAAATTTCCATTGATTACTGAGAAGTATAGAAATATTTTTTGACATGCCATTTTTAAAAATATAAATTACATTTGATTTGAAATCAGTACTCATTTCATAATGGGTCTATTTTTTGAAAGACGTCTGCCTCATTCCCTATCAGAAGCAAACATCTTAATTAAAATAAATAAAAATTAAACAAATAGATCCAAATTTACCAGGCGTATAAAACATTTTGGACTTAAGTGGGTTTTGACAGGTCATGCTAATGGCCTCTCGGGGACCTTAATAAAATAAGGACAAATGCATAGGTTAAGATCTCACATAATAAAACTCTAAATGCCCACAGCAATATTTTTACTTGCATATTTCCATTTTTTTTTTTTTTGCAAATGATACGGATAGGGGAACAATGTTTAGCTGCAGATGTCCATCCTTCCACTTACACTCATGTAATTTGCACATCCTACCTTCAATATCTGCCTCAGATAACAAAAAACAAAAACAGTAATGTATAAATATTTCAGAAGAATCAATAGGAGATAGATATTTTAGACATTGCCTTTCTCTACAATTCCGCTCGGATAAACTCTCGCTTGCAGCACAGCAACAGGACAAGGAGCTGGTTTAAACCAGGCTAGGGTAAATAAAACAAAAAGTGTTTTTCGGTTTGATTTTATTAATATTTTCCTCTATATTTTATGTAAACACATTTCATGTGCAAGAATAGTAAACATTACTTAAGTTTAAGGGAAAGGCATTAAAATACGGGTCTCCCTAACTCTAAAGTCTGATTAAATCTTATAGCCTTTCGTGTATTTATCAGTTTGGTATATTTTTTGATTTTACAATGAACAAGTTACAGATTAGTCTGTTTCCACATTGCAATCAAACTGCAGTATACAGTGTCGTTTGAAAATTTGATATCACCTACCGATGATTTCATCTGTGATAGTCAGCACTTCTTACATTTAAATCTGGGCCTTTTTCAAACATGACACAAACATCCAAAAATAAATTCAACTTGTAGTCTAAAATTATATAAAAGCAGTTCTATATATCGTTACTTTAGTCCGTCGTAAATGTAATGAATGATTATGTGTCGCATGTTTTTCCCTAAATTACTTTTCTTCATCGAAAATATGCGTCTCTCTGATGCCTGAATACTGTCTGATTATTGGTTATTTATTGGGTTTTTTTTGTCTCAGTTTTTCTTAAATATTTTTATACTTGACTTTTTCACAATTGAAAAAAATAGCATAAGTTATAATCGTTTAATTAATTCAAACTGACACTATTAGTTTATAATTAAACAGATTTATTTAAACCAGCACTAAATGTGAGAGTCATTTATTTTTATAAACACGGCCTGTTGGACTGAGAAACATATGTACCGTTATGCCGTCTGGATGTTTGTAGTTCAAATAAATGCAATATTTTAGATCAAGCATGGCGAAACTTTCAAGGGGAAAACTGGCATCTGAGAAGCTGGATAGGACGGTAATCCGTGCAGCGAGGCGGAAGGAAGGACGAGATTTGGAGCTATTGCTGGGAATCCTGAGTTCCAGTGTTCAAACATGAGCACAGGATTCCGGGAGAGGAGCGAGGAGAGCGCTGGGATCATGCAGCCCGCAGGTGGCAACCCGGGACAAACTTGAAGACGTACCCGGCCTCCCGAGCCCGCTCGGAGGCTTGAATCGGGACAGTGGAGTCCGGAGCCAAACGGCGACCCGGCAGCCGGGCTGCGTCGCTCCTGCGCCCTGTGCTCCTTGAGCGCTCCCAGAAACAACTCCTGCCGCTTGAAACGTTTCCTCCTGCGAAGAAAGCTCCCGTTTGCGAACATGTCGGCCGACATGGGATCCAGCGTCCAGTAGTTCCCCTTGCCAGGATTCCCGGGCTCCCGTGGCATTTTCACGAAGCAGTCATTTAACGACAGGTTGTGGCGGATGGAGTTCTGCCACGCCGGGAACCTCTCCCGATAATAGGCGAAGCGCTGAAGGATGAAGTGACAGATCTCACTGAGGGTCAGCCTCTTCTTCGGACTCTGGAGGATCGCCATGGTGATGAGAGCGATGTAAGAGAACGGAGGCTTAGAGGCGGATCTCCTGCTCTGACCGTCCTGTTTGGGGACAGCAGCAGCAGCAGCAGAGGACGCGGATTTCTCACTGAACACAGAAAACTCCGCGTCTTCACAGTCGCTCTGACCCTCCACGTCAATGTCCGTCTCATCCATGGGTCTGTTTTCCAGCGTCATGGTCCAGAGGGTAGCCAATGGAGAGACTACGGCCCCAACAGGGGAAATCAGAGCCTGTCTAATGGGAAGGACCCCCTGCTCCCTTTTCATTAACAAAAACATAAACCATCTGACTGCATCTAAGTGCAGCCTCCCACTCTAAACATCCTCCTCCTTTGCCCCCTGCAGACTCAACCCAAAATGCTAACATCAGACAAAGAGCCTTCTATTTGCCAGCAAAATATTAGCTAAAACACGTCCACGTTTACAAGCTACTGCTGCCAAACTTTTGCATAGAAATGTAAAAATCTTTTAAACACTTTAAGATGTCAAACTTAAACATAATTGTTCACAGGAATGCTTTTACAGCTTTTTATAAACACAATTTCAGTGTTCTTTGTTAGATTTTGGTTATTTCTATTAAAATGTTCTCACAAGAATTACAACTTTGAGTCTCAGAGTACGTCTCACCACATCTAGAGATTACATTTTTTGCATGTTCTTTACAAAGTTTCATCAGATCAATGAGAGAAGAGCTGGTCTCAGGTCTAGTCTTGTTCAGATTAAACTTAACCCTGTTTTTGTTTTGTTGTTGTTTTATTGTCAGGTTTTCGTCCAGGAGTCACCTGTATATAGCTTTATCCATTTTCCCATCCTCTTGAACAAACTTACTGGAACCTGATAAAAACAATTCCCACAGCATAATGCTGGTACCTCCGTATTCAGTATGGGCTGTAGTGATACACTAATCTCAAGATACAATACGATGCGCGATATTCTGCTCACGATATAATGTCACAATATTCAGCAAACAATGTGATTCTATACATTTTTAAGATTTTCTGAAAGATTTTAGAGGGACAGAGTGATTTTGATGACATTTTGTGATCAAAATCATTCCATAGACGTGGATTGAACTTATTACACACTAATCACTCAAGACCCATTTGGCAACATTTAATTCTGGTGTAATAAATATTTTTGTCATACATTTGCTTTGTTTAATGTTTAAATGTTAATTTAAACAATTGTGTATTGTATATTTGGTTATGTAGAAAAGGAACCCTTTTTGTCTTATTCACTTATTAGATAATGTAATTTATCTATTTCCTTTCATTATTTGATTAATTGCAACCCGTTGTTTCAATACATGTCATTTTTAATGTACACGTTCAACTGGGTAAAAAATGTCAAGTGTGACAGATGTTATTTAATTCATGTGGATTTGACATAAAACTCAAAGTAGGATTTAATGTATTGATACTCGCAGATGAAAAATCGATACTTTGAGGGAAAAAAATATCGATAACCATCGTATAATCGATAAAATTACACAGCCCTAGCATGTAGGGTAAGCTTTCCAGCATGCATAGCTTTTTGTATTTAAAGCAAAATGTTCAGCTTTGGTCTCATTTGGTCAGTGCAATGGGTTGCATTGAATTAATGCAGGAAGTTGAATAAAAATGCAATCCTCACTTTTTGGTGGTCTAACACATACAATCCCAGAGAACATAGAAGTTTTTGTATATCGTGCAACAAAATGTGGAAAAAAGTTTAAGGAGACGGAATACTTTTGCAAGGCGATGTAAACATGATCACTCAAGTCCCTTCTGGCATTAATTGAAATCAAAAGTTTGTCTTTGAAAATAACATGCATACACAAACCTGTCCTTCATTAGTGTGTTTGTTATAACTTGCATTTACCGTTCCATTTAATTGACGGTAACAGGTGAGTTTCGAAATGTTTTTTTATAGGAAATGTGAGAGGACACGTGAAATTTATGAAGCTGCTGTTTGTTTTATGTTCTTGGCTTTCACAGTGCTCGTTTCCACCAGTGTTTCTCCTTCCTAAATGTTTTGGCACATGGTGAGAGAGGAAACCGTTGAAGACGTAATCCATTTTGATATAATAGCTGCGTTGTATCAATTTGTTTGAGGCCACCCACTTGGACGACTGGGGGAAACTGTGGGAAGCCTCATTATGGAGAATTTGTTACCTCCAATGTAATCTGTGCACCTCTCTAAAACCGTTATTTTATGCTGTAATCCCTGTAATTATCACAGTGGATTTATGTCAGCTGTACAGATTTTATTTACACACATGAAAGAAGTGGAAAACATATCAGATGTTTCTTTTTGAATTTACTTCAGACGAAAGCCCACGCAAATACACAAAATAACTGCTTGTTTTTTTTTCTCAGAGGCAACAGAAAGTGCACCACTTTAGCCTTCCAAATGTATTTTGCCAACAAGTACAACCAACAAATACAACAAGACAAAATAAAATGTAACTTGTGCATGTTTACCCACTGTGTTTAGCAGACGGAGTCACTGTCAGGGTCGAAGGCAATAAATTGTTTTTGAAGTTAATATCAGCAAATATTACCATTAAATACTGGAGCCACCCGGCATAACTGATAGTCATTACACGGAAAAACTAAGTTAAATGACAAGATATCAACAGTAATAAAGGTAAACTTTCTGCAATACGTTTCAGCGTCCTGTTTTTGAGGCTTCATGACGTACAGCTTGTCCACAAAAGCTTCAATCTCCACATAAGTAAATGTTTCTATCCACACACACACACAAAACACTGTCTAAACACCATCACACTTGATGCACAAAAATTAAGATGCACAAACTGACATCACTTCTTCACTTTATGCTCTGACAATTGTAGAGCATTTTACAACTCTTTTCAAACTTTTTTCTTTTTGCATCGCTACCTGCGCTTAACTGTAAACAAGTAAACAAAGAAGCAGCTCTGACCTCGTTCGTTCCTAGCTTTGCCAAGAATACACATAAAAAACCGGCATGTGTGTGCAGCCTAAGAGGGATGTTTCCGCTGAGCTGAGGTGAGTTTCACCAAGTTTCCACACCTGATGCAGAGTGAGCTGGAGTTGCCCTCTTTCCGGGGAATATGCCAGCATTTGACACAGCGGACTCTGTATTTCTTATACCTTCAAAAAAACAACAAATACTTTTTAGATTACAGACTTATTTTTAGCCCTTCCACGAAGTATATTTGTCTTACAAGATGCATATTCATTAGAAATATCTATGATTAGCCTTGATATTAAGAGGAGAATATTATTTGAAGAACTGGGGGAAAAAAAAAAACATTAGAAATTACAGTAAGCTGAAAGGGTTTTTAAATCTACCTTATGCCACAAGCATTACAGAGAGGAGTCCCGTCCTCTGCATCCCTCCACATGGGGGTCTTCCTGGTGCAGCAGGATGCACAGACTTTTCCTTCTGATGACACAGAATTACAGCAATATCAGTTTTGTATCACAGAAGTAAAAAAAAAAAAAAAGATCATCATCGAGCATTAGTCCTAATCTAAAGTAATACCACTGAACATTTTGGGATTTCTTTGTCTCATTAATGGCCAATAAGTTGACTGACATGAAAGCATTCATACAACTAAGAACTTAAAGAGTATGAAGTCCTAAAGTAAATACTAGTAAAATGTAAGTTGTGGCTACTTAAAAAAAAAAGTTTGAAATTAATTTGTAAAAGCATTTTGAATTTCATCCTCCAAAAAGATGCCTGGAAAAGTGTGCCGACCAACATATGAAATGAAAGGAACATTTGAGAGAAAACCTAAAATTCTTTTCACTCAACCATAGTGAAAAGATGCATCTTTTCACTGTGATGCGTATGATTGATTATTATGATTCACACAAGCATTACATGGTTACAGGCAATTACAAACAATTTAGACTAGTTTTTTTTAAAGTATTCATTAATACAAGTCATTTCAGTCACGGATAATCCCATAAATTTTGCTAAGACTAATGGTGAAAGATGGTGGTCTAGTCGCGCCCCCTGGTGGAGATATTGACATTCCACATATTACCTTTTAAAATTTTGCCAATAGACATTTGATACTTTAGTATTAAACTGTTATGTCTGCCTAAGACATGGATGTTTTTTTATATATATATTAAGTGCAGCAAATAGATTTTAGGTTCAGTAAATATAAAGCTATTTGATATGTTCTTTCATGCTTATATAGGAATACTCTTCAAAACCATCACAACTTTCACATAACCTTCAGCACTTTCTTTTTTTTTTAATGGATAAAAACAATTTTAATGTGGTTTAATTTGGATGCATTAAACTACTAAACAAATTATAATCAAAACTGGCAGACCTCCTAGTGCAGATTGGCTTGAGCCAGTATAATCATGGTCAGTGGATTATTAGGGATTTCCAATAATAGTAAATATTATTACAAAATGTTTTGCATTTCAGGTTTTACTTACTATTGATATTGGTTGTGTGGTCAGTCTCCTCATCTGAACTGCTGGTTTTAGCCAATTTCTGCAATGCCCGTGTCCTCAGCTTTGGTTTCCTCACACTTTTGCAGAGCTTCTTGCTGTGACAGACACGCATGTTGCAGACCGTTAGGTCAATCATCTCAAATTAAAACACTTCGAAAATGTTATCACTAAAATGCGCCAAAGCCATTTTCACCTGTACTTTGAAGTAATGAGAAGTCGACACTGTTGCCTGTTGTCATCCAGCTCTGTGTCTATCCTGAAAGTTACGCCCTGGAAGTCTGGGTCCTGACCATCAGCGCTGCGAGAGGGGTGAGGCTGTTTCCGTCGGGTCTTGGTTCTACATTTGTTGGTAGAAAGCTGATCTTTTTCATCATTGCTCACCTTCCAAATATCTGTTGCATATGACACAGTACAGCTAGAGACAGTTGAATAGTCAGCTTTGGGGTGGCTTTCTTCCTGGGGAACGTGACAGCATTCAGTCTTAGATGCTGAAAATTTATCATATTGTCCCGATTGCGGTGACAGCAGACCTGCACTGGAAGGAGGTAGCTGGGTGTTACATGGTTTCTCTGTAGATAAAGTAACATTTGCATTGAGGTCTAGTGTTAGTGCTGGTTGTGGCACATCTGTGCACTCCATATAGGTTGAACTGAAAGTAATCTGGGCAGTAGAACATACACTGGAGGTCTGTGCTTGCTGCAAAGCATTATCAGGAAACAATACATTCAAATGATCCTTTTCAGTAAGAAACCAGTCCTTCTTGCACTCCTGGATCAATGATTGCTGTTTGCCAACACTTGG